TATAGCTTAGATCCATGGCCACGTAAACTTTTATGCATGGGAAAAGAATCTCAGGGAATACTTGTCCTTCAAGCGCCTGGATGCCTATGGACCCTTTCCTACTTGTGCCAAAAGCCTGGTCCTCAACCTCTACACTCACTCTCCCTCAGATGTCTCCACCTGTAATACTCTTTCTATTGGAAGGGTAATGTATCAGTAAGGATATGTTCAGCTTTAAGCAACAGAAAAACCAACTAAGAGTGTCTTAAGCAATAAAAATAAATTTACATAACAGGAGATGCAAAAGTAGGCAATTCCCGACTTGGCCCCTTAGCTCACAATTGTCATAAAAGAAAAAAAATGCATTGAAAGAACCAAGATCGGGCGCCTGGGTGGCTCAGTCGGTTAAGCGACTGCCTTCGGCTCAGGTCATGATCCTGGAGTCCCGGGATCGAGTCCCACGTCGGGCTCCCTGCTCGGCGGGGAGTCTGCTTCTCCCTCTGACCCTCCTCCCTCTCATGCTCTCTGTCTCTCATTCTCTCTCTCGCAAATAAATAAAATCTTTAAAAAAAAAAAAAGAAAGAAAGAACCAAGATCTTTCCTTCTTTCCACTCTACCATGTTTAGGCTCATCACCTCACATCTATAAAGTGGCTCCTTCAACTCTATAGTTTCATGTTCTCGCAGGATTTTATCCAAAGGCAAATCCAGGTCACATGACCACCCAGCGGCAAGAATCTGATCTTTCACGGGGAGGGAGAGGTGCGCAAGAGGGGGAGTTGGGAACGGCTATTGGATAGCTATATCCAGTCTCTGCTGCTGGTAACTTTCTGATTCCTGATTAGGGTCAGGGCTGAAAATTAATTATTCCTGAGCAGAAACATGGATTTCTTGACACTACCGAACAGTTTTCTATTGCTGTGTAATAGTTTAAGGCAGCTTACGTCTTGGCAGCTTAAGACAATACCTGTTTATTTTCTCATAGTTCTATAGGTCAGAAGTCTGGGAAGGCTTGAGTAGGTTCTCTGCTTAGGTACCGGCAAGGCTGAAATCAAGGTGTTAGCTGGTCTAAGCTCTCATCTGGAGCTCTAGGGAAGAATTCGCTTCCAAGCTCATTCAAATCACTGGGAGAATTCAGCTCCTTGCAGCTGTAGGACTGAGACCTCCATGGCCTTGCTAGCTATCCATCAGGATCACTCTCAAGTCCAAAGACCATTCTCCATCCTTGAGCAAGGACCCCCTCCATCTTTAATGCCAGCAATGATGCACTGACTCCTTCTCATACTTCAATCTCTCTGACTTTCCCTTCTTCCAGCAGCTGGAGAAAACTCTCTACTTTTAAAAGGCTTAAGTATTAGAGTAAGCCCACCCAGATAATCTGCCTTTTGCCATAATTACAGAAGTTAACACCAGAGGGTGAAGATCATGGGAGCCATCTTAAAATTCCATCTACCTCAGTTGCCATTAAAAAAAAAAAAAAAAACACACAAAATCAGGATTTATTCTTGAAGGTCAAGATAGGGTCACCCTTCCCTGATTCACAATAAGGGCAGGAAGACTCCCAATCAAAACAGGGACTCTGCAAGCAAAAAATTAAAGGAGCAAATGGCTGCTGGGTGGGCAACCAAGAGTATCTGATTCAATCAACTTTTTTTTCTGTGAAACTGAGATATTAAGCCTAACTTAGTTACACGATGGAATCCCACCTAGCTGGTGGACATTTTTTTTTTAAATGAGAACATGGTGTATAAGAACCACTGATGGGGACATGGATTCCTGCTTCACTTAACATCCCCCCGCCCCACTCCCCTCCACATCCTGCATCTCCTCAGCCTGCAATGTGCCCCCAACACAAACTCATGAAGAATGCTGACCAACAGGGAGTCTGATAGGGTTTTCTTATAAACGTATTTAGTGTGGCTAGATTTCTCATGTTGATTTTTCACTGGCTTGCGTCTATCTATTGGGCAAAAGGGAAGGACAAGGGTTTATAGGAAGAGGAGGCCCCTCCCTCAGAGCTTACCCAGAGCAGCCCTCACACTGCCCAAGGTGTTTAGAATGAGCCCTGTGGGCTTTTCCATGGCCTTCTAAAGAGAAATCACACGCCCTCTCCTCTACAGAGATGCCTCATTACCAGCTCTTTCAGTGCATTGTTTTCTGTTTCCCTGCCTTAAACCTGACTCAGGCCGCCTGTGTTTTTTGTTTCACTTAGTTTTCCCTGCTTTGTGACATCGGTGTGGACTTCACCTTTTCTACCCCCCGCCCCAGAACCAAAAAGTCTAAAATCCCAAGTCAGATGTCTCCAAAGAGCTGACGTGTGTTTGCACAAACACGTGAAGATCCTTCAGAACTACAGATTATCCACCAGCAACAGCTCGATGCCTTTGAGAATTCTCTACTTTCATGGATGCTGTTTACCTTTTATTTTAAGTGCTTTCAAGCCCATTCTCCTGAAGCTCCTTGCCTTATCGGGAGCCCTGCTCGTTTGTCTTGTTGCCTCCTTCACTCAGAGGCCTCCATCGATCGGTTTCTGGAACAAGGCAGGTTCTGTGCAGAATCAAAAGCCACCACATCACAGCTGACAGCGAGAGAATGCAGCGAGCATTGTGCCCTTGCACTCAAGGCCTTCGTCTCTTTGAGAAGTACGTTTGAAATGAATGAGGCAGACGAGAGTGGTGGCTTCAGAAGCAACCATCTTCCTCTGGGCTTTTCTTCTTGAAAAGTCCTGAGCAGCACTGTTACTAGAAAGTAAAGAGAATAAAAGGCAAATCGGAGGCAAGCTGCAGGTTGCCTAGACGAGAGACTCACACCTGGCCTCGGCCAGGCTGTGCCGCCGGACATTTGCCTTTCCTTTGTAGATTGGGGTCTGCAAGGTTAACGTGAAAGAGGCTGTTTATTTTCTCCCGGGGATTATGAATAAAAAATACATAAAGCCCCTTCACCCAGAGCCTAGCCCGGAAGTATGAGAGGCTCCTCTCTTTCCTGGTGCCCCTTAAGGGCATCATTGTTGGTGGTAGAGCTGGGGCACCACTGTTGCCATGGTTACGACTTCTGAACCAAGGGATTGGCTGATCCTTGGCCCGGCTCTTCCACCCAGCTGTCATTTCCCCTGCAACCAGAGGCCTCCTTATTCCCTGATCCATTTTGTATTTGGCTGGAATGTTAGAGAGCAGTTTTCCATGGCACTTCATGACCCTTCCGTAGAGCCTTAATGACCCTAATGTTGATTTGGACCTAAAGTCTTGGGCTAGTGGTAAAGTTAAAACAATATTCAGGGCTCATATAGATGATGATCCTAATAATTGGCTTGAGGATCATCGCCTTCCTCCCTCGATTGCAGAGGGTTTGCACCGACTGCTTGAGAGTTCAGAGCAAATATCTGGCCCATGACCAGGAAGCGAAAAAAATGGTACGATATTTGACATGAAACCTCATTCATGAGTTCACCTTATTTTTCCCATCCTTATCTTCCATACCTGAATCTTCTTTTTAATAAGTCTTACATTGTTTCCATCTTTAAAAAGTGCCTTAAATTCTTTTGAAGCAAGGCTAAATATACAGAAAGTGTAAGGATATTCCTCAGAAATCCAATGGATTCTTGTTATTAGGATGGAAGGAAAAAAGGTGCAAAGGTTTTTCTCGCCAGGAAGGGAAGACTGCATAGTGCAAAGCACCTAGAACATATTCTGTGTAAAAACCAAGTGGGATCATTTAAGTGCATATTTTCTGTTGAAGAAAAAAATATGCACACGGTGCTCGCTTTGGCAGCACATATGCTAAAACTGGAATGATACAGAGAACATTAGCATGGTCCCTGCTCAAGGATGGCACGCAAATTCAGAAAGCATTCCATATTTTTAGATATTGGTCAAAGGGTAACAAACTCCCAAATAAGATCCGGGCATCTAATGCACAGGATGGTGACTATAGTTAACAATACTATATTATATACTAAAAGTTGTTAACAGAGTAGATCTTAAATGTTATCACCACACACACGCACACACACAAACACACACCATAATTACGGGAAGGGATGGAGATGTTAACTAACTGTATTGTGGTAATCCTTTTGCAATATATAATGTATCTAATCATCACGTTGTAAACCTTAAACTTACATATGTTATATGTCAATAATATCTCAGTAAAGCAGAGGAAAAAAAATTGCAACTACAGAGACTAAAACCACACACACACACATACACCCGCACGCGATTGGATTCAAGAAAATTGGAATTTCCGGTACAAAGAAGTGATAAGGACATGCCACTCCTAATCTCCGGAAGCCCCCTAAACACTTAGGGACCTGTTACGTCAAGTCACTCACATGAGATTTTGATCAGTCCCTTCAAAAGCCTGGGGTGGGCCATGTGGACATGCCACACCAGCAGGGAGGTGCTTAGGGGGTTCTGGGAATCCCAGTTCCTTGCACACAGTAAAAACTTTACAAATATCTGCTAAATAGATGGAAAAAATAAGTACAACAAAATAAAACAAAAAACCCACAACAGCAAAAGCAGACGAACAATAAAAACCATTATGCCTACGTGCTAAGTTCACAGATAACCTTTATATGAACTCAGGCAGAAATGCTTTAGCAGCACCAAAAAGCAGGTGCAATACAGGGCCCCAGTCCTTTGAATCCTCTCAACAACACTTTGAGGTAGATGTTTTTATCTCTACTGTTTTTCAGATGAGGTTAAGGAAGGTTAACTAATTTGTGCAAGACCCCAAAACCATAGATAGGATTTAAGCCCAGAGCTGTCTGATTCTAAAAACAGACTATTCCCTCCATCTACCCCATTATTGTCCAAGCTCTTCTCCTGCCAAGAACACACATCTCAGGGCCCATCCCAGCTGCACTGAATCAGAGTCTCTGGCGAGGGGCTTGGAAGCCTAGGCTTAACAAGAGACAAGGTGATTATGATTATCACAGAAGTTTAAGAAAACAGCTCTGTTGCCTCTGGCGGGAAATGCACCCATCTCTCCCTCTCCCTGATCAAATAGAAGCCATCAGAGATTTGAAGCTCACACGACAAAAATCTATCACGTCATTCTGGAGTTTATCGGATTATAATATCATCGGATATTTATTCCTCACTTTGATACCATAGCGTTGTCTGATTTGAGATTATCCGGATCCTGAAACGCAAAGACAATTTCGGAAAGTTAAAAACGGACACTAGTGGAGTCCTCAGATTTTTTCACTTTCGTCTCTGTCTGTCTACAGTCCTTCGGAGCGGAAGTTAAGAATTCAGCTCAGCTCCCGGCAGCTTGAACTGATGCAGAGGTTCTGGCTGGGCAGGGGCTGGAGGGCGGCTGGAAGGAGAGCCCCAGGCTGAGAGGCAATCCTCCTGTCTGGTTGCTCACCAGATGGCTGTCATTGGACGAGCAAAGTCCAGGATCCAGGAAGTAGAAAATCCATCCCTGCTTGGTTTGCTTTTCTTAGTGTCAGTGTTTCCACGCCCAGTGACAAGAGGGGAGGCCAACGAAGTCTGCAGCTTCAAGTCTCCATCATGGAAGCAAACAACGTATTCTTACCCCCTAAATCCTTAATGAATTAAATGGGAAGCAAACAATGATTCCTGACAGGGCTGGATTTAAGGCAGGCTGTGAATGCCACAGCACAGCCAGAAGTAGAGACGGACGAGTCGAACTGAAACCTGACCACTGCCTCTCAGCAATTTTACTGTAAGTTATTCCCGTTATCTCAGAGAGGAATTTGAGAAGGGGTTAGAGAAAAGTATGGAGCTCATTTCCCCCCCATGTTGAGCACAGATCGTTGTTTTAAGAATTTGTTTTATATGCTATCGCCAAGAAACTTGCTTTGAATGAAATTTCCAGGCCTGGTATCTATAATAGCAAAAAATGACAGTTACATTTTACAAATAATAGTTTAATATGCTTTACCATGCTTCTATTCCAGAATGTTCTTGATCTCCTTTAATCTTCACAACAACTCGATAAAGTTTATGCTCTTAATTAACAGGACTGTACAGATAAGGACACTGGTAGCTTCCTCCTCATAGAGTCCTTAAGCAATTTGCAGCAAGTCCACAGCTCATAGCCGAGAGCCTATCTTCTATCACTGTGCCAACTGCATTCCAAGGGAGGCCATATATATAGGCCGTTAGTTTCCCCAAAGACAAATTCCCATATTGGATTAAAACATAAGACCCAACAATATGTTTGTTGCTTAAAGACAGGTATCTGTAATAAAATGATGCAGAAATGCTAAAAATTTAAAAAAGTTTTATTGAGGAAATTTGTACAACAAAAAGGAAACAGTTGGTAGAGGTGGAATCATATAAAAGAGATTTTGAAACCAAAAAAGTGGAGGGAGGGTGCAAAGAGGCTCCTGATTATAATGAAAAATATAAAAACAACAGTGAAGACATGGATTACCCAGGCGCCCCTAGATTTTGGCTTTTAATCAACAAAAATTCTGGGCTTCTTTTTCTAGTTAAATAAAATATGAGTACATTGAAAATATGGAATCATAGTTGTATGATATATGGGTTTTAGCCTTCCTTTAAGTCGTAGGATTATATTATTGTATTTTTTATTTTATATCTGCAAAATAGATGTAAGTTTGAAAAATAAAATAGAGGTTATGAACACTATGCATTTAGTATGCTAGAACCAGTGGACATACATTGAACTCAGTAACAACATAGTATCATCCATACATTTTTCTCAAGGTATACGGCATTGATACATATATGCTAACTCTTAAATAAGATTCCAAAAATGAATCCAGAAGAAAGTTATATAGATATATTTTCTCACCACAGTGCAATAAAGCTAAATTCTGATGATATAAGTAAAAATACAATGAAAGGAGCCTTGGGCAAAATAATGATCAAACCCACAGCCTTGGAAGTAGACAGCCCAGGGTTTAGACTATAACTCCATCCCTTACTGCTGTGTGACCTAAGCAATTTATTGAATCTCTCTGAACCTTGGATTCTTCATCTAAATATGTGGTTCTACTTTGCAAAGATGGTATGAATTTTATCTATAGAGTACATACAATAGGGGCACCTGGGTGGCTCCATCAGTTAAGCAGCCAACTCTTGGTCTCAGCTCAAGTCTCAATCTCAGGGTCATGAGTTCAAGCCCTGTGTTGGGCTCCAAGCTGGGCATGGAGCCTACTTAAAAAATAAACAAACAAATAATATAATATAATACTAAGACTTAAAGGAAGGCTAAAACTCATACTCATACAACTATGATCCCATATTTTCAATATACTCATATTTTATTTAACTAGAAAAAGAAGCCCAGAATTTTTGTTGATTAAAAGCCAAAATCTAGGGGTGCCTGGGTAGCTCAGTCGGTTAGGCATCTGCCTCCGGCTTAGGTCATGATCTCAGAGTCCTGGGATCGAGCCCTGCATGGGGCTCCCTGCTTAGCGAGGAGCTTGCTTCTCCCTCTCCCTCTGCTTCACTCTGCCTCTGCCTGCTGCTCCCCCTGCATGTACTCTCTCTTTCTCTCTGTCAAATAAATTTTTTAAATCTTAAAAAAAAAAAAAGAAAGCCAAAGTCTAGAAAATATATCTCTAAATACTAACAGTGCTCATCAATATGCCCTTGGATTTCTGGTAATTTTTGTTATTTTGCTTTATTTTTTTACTATAAATGTATAGTTACTGCACAATAAAACAATAATAAATATGAAAGTAAATATACATTCTCTAGAACATAGCACAAGAAGAAAATAAATATTAATATATTGAGTGCCCTATAGGTGGGGGTTGCTGTGAACATACAGTCATTTCAGTTGTTGCCACAGTCATCATTATTGTAAATTCTAAAATGCTCTCTTTCTCTGTGTGTGTGTGTATACACACACACACACACACACACACACTGGTGTTTATTTTATTATATATTGTAATAATAAACACAAAAATAACACAAAATTAGTGTTTATTATATATTATATATAATAATAAACACAAAAATAAAAACAAGTTGGTGTTTATTTTACAATATATAATAAAATAAACACCAATTTAAATTAAGTTTAAATTTAAATATAATTAATTTTAAATTTAGATTATATAAATTTATTTATCTAGATATAAATATATATTCTATAATATATACTATAGTATTATATATAGTGCCAAAGTACTTTAGTACTACACTACATAGCATATAGTATACTATATAGCCTAGAGTGTATAGAGTATATATATGTGTATATAGTACACATGTATAGTATATATACACTATATATAGTATACAGCATATATATGTATATATAGTACATATACTATGTACATAGTATACATATACTATGCATATATATTATACAGCACATATTTATATATATAATATATATACTATATACATACTATGCATAATATAGTATACAGCATATATACATATAGTATATGTATATCATACATATATAGCATACAGCATATATATACTATATGTATACTATACTATATGTATATACTATATATGTATATATATGCTGTATACTATATGTACACTATATATATACCACACACTATACATATACTATATACATAGTATACTATATATGTATACTATACACTATATATAATATGTGTAATATGTATATATACTGTATATTCTATGTATAATATGTATAGTATATGTATATGTATATGTATATGTATATATATGTATATGTGTACTATATATATGGATAGCATATATACATATACTATATATATACTAGACATATATATAGTGTACAGCATATATGTATAGTATACTCTATGTATGCTATATAATACTAATGTATACTGTATGTATATACTATATGTAGTATACAGCTATAGATATGTATATATGTGTGTAGTATACATATATAGATATGCTGTATACTATATATATATGCTGTATACTATATGTATAGTGTATACTATAGTATATATACTATATATGCTGTATACTAGTATATATACTATATATGCTGTATATACACTATATAGGCTGTGTATATATATATTCTATATATAGTATATATATGGTGTATATTCTCTATATATGCTCTATACTCTATGTATAGTATATGTTATAGTATATATACTATATATATGCTGTATACTATATATATACTATGTATAATACTATAGATTATATAGTATTATATGTTATTCTACTATATAACAGCATTACATACATAAAAAACACAATATTGGGATAACTAACAATTTGAATATGGACTACGGAATTAGATAATCATATTGTATCAATATAAAACTTCCCATTTTTCTTAACTGTTAAATTTCCTAATTTTCAAAAGAGAAAATGTCTGTCTCAGGAAATATACATTGAAACATTTAGGTTTGTATGTACATACATCTGCATCTTATTCTCAAATGATTTGGGGAAAATACTCATATAGAGAGAGAAAATGAATGATAAAGCAATAGGGAAAATATAAACAAATGGTGAATCTGAGTAAAAGGTGTACAGGAGTTCTTCATACTAGTCTTTTAACATTTCTGTAAGTTTAAAATAATATAAAAATAAAAATTTACAGCAACAAAAAACAAATAAATGAGTAACCACTTCTAATAATAGCAGCAGAAGCTCTCCTTAGCAACAAGGTGAAGTAGGAAATTAAGGGCATGATAATAACTTTTGGAATATTATAAAATTGAAAATACCACCTATCAAAACTAAGGGGAGTATGAACAATCAGGGCCCAGAAGTAAAGACAGAGATGCATTTTAGAAATATGAAATACGTGAACTAAGCATCTGATTTAAAATCTTATAAAAAGAAGAGAGTCAACATAAGGGAAAATAGGAAGAAAATAATAAAGATGAAGAACAAAAATAAACAAGCTGAAAAACAAAAAATGAGTGGAAATAATAAATTTAACTCTTCATTCTGTGAAAAGATTATAAGATATATTAAAGCCCGTGGGAATGTAATAAATAAAAGAAAGGGTATAAGTCAAGAAAATTAAAAACACACAATGGATATAAAGGATTTTAAACTATAAATGATGGCAATACACATTTTATGATAATTCAAAATGTTCAACCAAATAGACAATACAAAATATAAAATCGGCAAAACAAGATGGAGAAAACATGAAAATGATGATGAAGGAGGAGGAACTTGAGAAACATATTAAAGAAATTCCTCACCTGGGGCGCCTGGGTGGCTCAGTCGTTAAGCGTCTGCCTTCGGCTCAGGTCATGATCCCAGGGTCCTGGGATCAAGCCCCACATCGAGCTCCCTGCTCAGCGGGAAGCCTGCTTCTCCCTCTCCCACTCCCCCTGCTTGTGTTCCCTCTCTTGCTGTGTCTCTGTCAAATAAATAAATAAAATCTTAAAAAAAAAAAAAAAAGAAAGAAATCCCTCACCTAACCAAAGAAATATAACCTAAACAAATTTAGTGAACAATATTCTATATATTCAAGAAACAGATTTTGCCATACGATGTAATCAGTTCTAAATCATGGAGAAACAAGACCCGATACCCAATTCATCCTAAGAGATAAGTATCATACTCATCCACAAATCTGTGAAAAAGACCACACATGCACACACACACACACAAACACTCTTAGGATGGCAAATGTACACAAATGTCAATGCCCGTAAAATTGGTTTGAAAAGATCACAACCAAGTTCAGACATACAATAGATTTCCCAAAAATAATTGTTGGCTAAGTGAATCAATAAAAATATG